TATCTACTATAATAGATGACGTCTGTTCTCGGCCATCAAGGTTTGATGACCACCATTATCCCCTCTATATATATTTTTTTAAACTATCATTCTGATTGCTCAAGGTCGAACACACACATGGTTATGTTAATGAGATTTTTGCCTTCATTTTAGATAGTGATGGTTAAAATATAATGGGAGGGGTTGATGGCGAGAACTGACGTTACTTTTTCGGTTCTAACTACTTTTCAATCATCACTGCTGGTTTCGTACCTATTCGAACACATATATGCACATACGCACACGCATATGCATTCACATGCTTCGAGGTTGATATATGACAGGAATAGCCAAATCACTTTATACCTCATTAAATAGTTCAGATATAAAGTACATATACAGCATTTTAGGGATGAGCCGGTGGGTTTTCTTGACTCGTTAGCATGATTATGGTTGTAAGGATGACACCTTTCTCTGATGATGTCCGTCATACGACGAGCGAAAGCTTAGCACGTTTTAATCGGAATCGAAAGGGTAATCTCTGATTCGAAAAGAATTTTCTGGTAAGCCAACCGCCAGCTGGTCAAGAGGAATCCGCCATCGTCTTCTGGTGGTATCGACCTTCGGATGCTTTTACCAAACATTTTCACCCGAAATGAAAGTAAGCTCAACAATTAAGAAACGAGTGAGTGATTCATCGAAACCCAACTTTTATTCACTTATACCAATGTTAATTTGGTCCAGTAATCTACCAAGTTCTCGGCTCGACGCTGGAAAATATCATATTTACTATGACAGAGCGTTCTTGACATCGAAGTTAAGCTGCGAAAACTACGTTAAACTCTTCATATACTTTAGCCATGTTTCTCTGCTTCGCAGATTTGCATATTATCCTTAGAGGAGCTCCGGTTGTTACATTAACCACATGTTTGACAAAGCATTTTCTTTCGATAATGCCCCATATTCTTTATAGTATTGAATTCTATTTGCTATTACAATCTAATATTTTTCGTTCCATACGTTATATTTCGAGGCTATATGTAAATCTTGCATTAGAACATCAGTCATCTCAGATGCTTTAAGGTGATTTGCGACTGATAGTTAACCTTCCAATAGTGTAATAACTTCCCACATTAGCATCATGCGGCCTACTTATGGTGATAAATTAAACTATCAATTCTTGGTCCTCCCTATGCAACTTTAAGTGACTATTTCTTAATCTCTATTATTATTACTATAGTGATCTTTCCCATCTTTTTTTTCATCAGACAATTAGCAAATTTGCGTTACATACTATCTATCATCTCGCCCGCTACAAGCTCTGATGGGCCTGAGGAATTCAACGATCCAGGAGAGCCTGAACCGGCCTTAGTTGTAGCCTCCACAGCCTCTTCTATAGACCATTCGACCGGTAGCACTACTATCAGCACCGGAGCCATTTCTTTGGCTTTGTTTAGTGGCGAATCAACTGCCACAATTGGCAGC